CGGATGTGTGGCTAAGGATGGATCGGGAGTGAGAGTCCACACTAGTGGGGCTAGATCAGATGATGCCTTGTGCTGTCATGAGGTCATGGTCGTTGGCGTTAAATTGCGGCGATGTCCAGTCGAGAATCTGAAAGTTTAGGCGCTGGCTATACATGGATTAAGTGAATCTGTTGCGCGATCGCGCTCGTGCTCCTCCGCGCTCCTTAATGTTTTCCAAGGAGAGCAAAAAAAAGCGCTCCTTAAAAATTTAAGGAGTACATGGTTTTTTCAAGCCAGCAAATGTTGATTTATGACAAACCCCTTGAATCTCGTTGGGTCGACAGTAGCAAACGAGTCCAAAGATTGAATGTATTAAAACACAAGGGCTGGTGATCAAAGTCTTTGAGTTGTGCGCGCGTGCTCGATGAATCCCGCATCACAACACACAAACGTGATAGCGCATGTGGGCGGGCCTTGTGCGTGTGGGCGAGCCTATGGAATTCCATGGACGCACGTGGCCGCGCCCGGCCGACCTCTCTCCCAGAACGGGTCGAGTTCAGGCGCTACGTTGTCGGCCGTTTGTTAACAGCAGAAGTGAGTTTGTGAAAAGCCCTGTAGTGGCTGGAGATGGTGTGTGATCCTGTTGCATGTTCATGTTGTTCGAGCATGGGAACAATGTTCGCTTGTCGAGAACAGAAAGTATGCCACAGGAAAGAAAAAAGTCTCTGGCGGGTCATGTGCCCTGTGTTCTATACGAAAATGCACTGGTGGAAGGAGTATTGTGAGCGCAGGAAGGGGTGATGAATACAATCTGTAGTGGACGTGCAATACGTTTTAAAATACCAAAAAGAAAGGATGCACATGCGCGGTAAATTCAGAGCCCCTGTAGCGGCGAAATGGATTGTCGGGCGAGTGAGGAGACTAGTCAAGTTATGCACCCGCGTCCACCAAACCAATGTACGATGAAAGACTACATGACGGACAGCAAGTTCACGCACAGAGCGAGTTCAAACGGGAGCAACATCAGAGGCAGATTTTCGATAAAATTTTCTGCAAATACGTTAAACATGGACATGTTAATACCGATTCATAACCACTGTGTTGACTGATTTTTGGCATAAGGAACATTTGGACAAAATTCAGCAAGCTCCATCAGGTAAAAAAAAAGTGGGAAAAATGCAATCTGGGAATTTTCGCTATGGCCGGGACAAAATTTTATAACCTGGACGTTAGTCGCAATGTAATGAAGACGTCGTCTTAGTATGTTATCGTAAGTATATTACGATCGTAAGTAAATATATTATCGTAGTATATTAATATACTAGTTGGGCTAGTATATTATGTAAGTCCATGTCTACAATCCATTTCGCTGTGTGTGCCTTGATCGGAGGCTAGAGCCCCTGCTGCTTGACCGTTAGTATAACAATGTAGTTGTTCTGTTGTTGCTTTAAGCGGAACAGTTGTTTGCCAGATTCCTAATCACAATCCAAACTCCATTGCATCACATGTTGTCTGAATGTATGAAGTGGGAAGAGAGATGGTTTAACTGATTAAAGTTAACTCATTGAACTCAGTAAAAGAAGTTAAATTGTGTTTATTTTATTGAGTATGTTTACATTTACTTGGTTTTTGTTAGCGAGAGCAAATCGCTCCCCTTAATTCATTTTGTTGATTTAAGGAGAGCAATTTTTAATCGCTGTCCGTAAACCAACAAAGTGAATTAAGGAGAGCCATTTTTAGCTCCCCTCGTATTTATTTAAATGAAGCCCTGAATATTGATTTAAAGTAGGGATATTTTCAGATGTTTTGAATTATTTTTGTACATGTATAATGCTGATAGAGCAAACTTTTTTTACACAAAAATGAGGGAAGATTATGACTGAAAAGCTTAAAACCCATATTTTCATAAAATCTCTATTCATGTATGTGCCTTATTTCAATGAATTAAATTTTGGCTTCACTTGATATTTCAAAAATTTAAATTGGAAATTAAAGGGAGGAGCTGAAGACAAGTTTTAATCTCAATTTCCTATTTAAGAAAATGAGTTCCCAAATGAACAGCGCCCTCACTCATTTTTATTTCATCTCCGTCAGGATTTCCAGATGGCTTGTCAGTCAACACCGATGACACAACAGACGACAACACCCCAGGGGTGCGCTGGGAGCTCAACTATCAAGAAGCAGCCATCTACCTCAGGGTAGGGAAAGAAAACTGTCCACCTCATGTCAGAGCCCCAATTAATTGCCTCACCTCCCATGACACGTTGCTTCATCGTAGGTCAGGTGAAGTCGTTATCGTTGGATTTGTGGTGGTGTTGGCTTTTTTGAAGAGCCAGCTGGTTTGGCCCAACATTCTTACTGGTTTGCTTTCTTTAAGGGCATAAATGCTTTAATGTCAGGTGGTAAACTTGGCATCAGATTTACCGTGAAAATTAGATCAGAGTGACCAAGGTCATTGAGGTTACCACACTTGGCCTGGCGATAGATCACACAGGCACTCAGTGAGCAACACAAGTGGCATAAAGTTGTGGAAACAAGACATGAACACACAGAGAAATGGACCAACAGGCTGCCAATTCTGCATGGCTTCTGGCGATTTCTGCCATCTTTGCTGCTTGCTCTTTCTCCAGAAATGATACCCCTCTTTAATCAGGGCTTGCCCTTTATTTTTTCTGATAGTAGCCCTCTGGGCTAGTTAATTGTGATTTTTACTAGCCCACAGAGATTTTTACTAGCCCATGAAATGTGTGAAAAATAAACAATTAAAGCAGGTTTTTGACTTAAGAAGGTTGGTCCACCAAGACATTTCTATCAACCGCTATCACGTGGGGTAATAGCGGTTCGTGGGTAGACTGGTTCCCGTTCCCTACTCACTCCCCCGGCATGATTGTCCAATGAGGGGCTTGCGATCAGTGGTACAACGAAGTCACTTCCGAACCAGACTGCACCAGTCTATGGACGCAGTATCAGTTTTTGCTATCTGGTTCCCAGTGCGAATTATATGTTAATTATATTGGTCATATATAGAGGTCACTGACTACTGGAGAAACTGTCGTTGATGCGTTGATGATAGGTACTAGGTACAATGTACACGTAGTCCCAGCACACAATACGGGATTCCAGGTGCGAGTCAGAAGCGATGTTGGGGTTTATTTGATTCCAATAAAATAAAGTTACATTCATGACAGACAACAGGTAAAGCTTTGAAATCAAGACTTTGTTTTATTTTCTTTAATCACATCAGAAAAACAAGGAACGTGTACATATTTTAACTCGCCCGCCGGACGACTGAGGGAAGTGGTTTGACTCGCCCTTGACTGTTTTCACTTGCATTTGGCCAGCGGGCGACCGCTAAGGGGAAACCCTGCTCTTTAATGAATTCGCCGACGGTCTCGTGATGGCACCTCTCCCCATCTAATGCAGTCTAATGATGCCTGTGGTTTAACATGCATGAAGTTTTCAGTATTTACACTTGTTTCTCTCACACAGGAAGGAGAGAACAACCACAACTTCAGCACCCACCCCAAGAGTCAAGACGCCCTGCCGGCGTACATCCTGGTGCACAACATTTGGTTCTATATGATGGACTTCGCCGCAGCCGTTCTGCTCCTGGGCCTGGCGCTCTGCGAGAGACCCGCTGTGCAAGTGTTCGAGCTCCCTGTCTTTGTAAGTAACCCGTCTGTGTTAATTGACACATGGGGAGTCAGGTTAGGGTAGGGGTTCTTTCCTCACCTTTCACCTCTGAGGCCCGGATTCAATTCCCCAGCTCAGTCCGCATGTGGATTAGGCTACCAAGCCCTACCCGATTCCGTTGGTTTCACCCAGATTACTCTTCTGGGATTTTCCTCCCCCCCAAAAAAACCATAATCTGCTTCTTATTGTCTCCTCTCTACAGGTTTCTTATTGGCTTGTGAGCTACAGTGCCGTAGGCACTTCAAAGGTATCCACAGTTTCAGATCCATCCTTTTTTTTTTCCAGATCCATGGGTCAGTTGAGCTCTTTTTGCTGACCATCATTGCCATTGGTCTGGGGTTAAAGGGCAGGTGGCTCGGGGTCAAGCAGTTTTTCCTCCACAAGAGGACAGCATTTAAAGTAAGTTGAGCAACAACAGTACAAGCCTTATATGTGACCCACTCTGTGAAAATGAGTCACAAGTCAGCAGAGCCACTATGGAGGAAAAAGTCCTTTAGACTATTTTTGTAAATCAATAGGAACCATCAGCATTTTTCACCATGGAGTATCCACTTTCATCGGGATACCAAACTGAGTGATACATCAAAACAAAAAGCTCCTTTCAATACAAATAAAAACTCAAAACGTGGCTCTAGCGACTTATGACTCATTTTCACAGAGCAGGTCACATATACCTAGCGTAGATATGTGAACAAAAGAGGTTCACATCGTGCAGGTTGAGCGCACCCTTGTATGGACTAATTGACCCTTACCCCCTAGTTCCTATGTAACATCATACTAAAATTGGACGATTTGGGACTGTTAAGGTTAAGCCGGGTCCAAGCAATGTTTCCCCCTTGCTGGAAAGACGGTTTAGAGGCATTTTGTTTTTAGGGTTGCCAGTCACAAACTGAAGAGGTACCGTCAAAGAAATCCTCAGCAAAAATCTAGCTCAAAATAGTGCTCACAGTTTTGAAAAATTAGTTTTTTCTCTGAGTTATTGCATGAAACCAGATGGATTTTCACACCCAGGTTGGTATCACTAGCATATATGTGCGTGTGTTGGCCTCTGAGTGACACGGCATACATTGTATATTACGGTATCACCAAAATCAATTGGCAATGTAATGTTCCATACACATTCATGGCATCTCCTTTGGAGAATGTTTTGTGATCCCTTGTCACAGTCCAAGTTCCAGGTCTTGTCTTGAGCAATCAGTATTCAAGAGAGATTCTGAATATTCTAAATATTCCTAATGAAGAGCACATCTGGAGCAACCCTGAATCTCCCTGTGCAGAAAAAACATGCCAAACAAAATCATGCCAATTTTATTTACTCTTGAGCTAGCAAAATGAACCCCCAAGAATTTCATGAGACAGAGACAAAGTTTTCAGTAATGCACCTGCTGAGTTTGAGATCTTAGTTGAATATTAAAGATGACATTGCTTCAATATTTTGAACCTGATGGTTAAGTCAAGTGATTTCAATTTTAAACCCACAAACTAAATGGTACTTGTCCAACTTTTTAAAATGGCTGACCGGTCAATCTGCATTATTCAGGTGGCTTAGTTCTGTAGAGAATGTGTAGAAATAGAGACTAAGTACCAGATGCTGCAGGTACCAAGGAGTGTTAGACAGGCACCAGTCTATTTTCCTGTATTTCACGGATTCTTTAAGTTTTGCGACTCTCATATGCAAATTTTTGGACTAGGAACAACCTTAACAAGACTGTAACCTTAAACTGTACCCACTACACAGACCCTCGTTCTCCTTGTCATGTACTGTGAAGCTATCACCGTCCTTGCCAGGCAACAGAGCCACTTTCGCATCACGCGGGCCCTACGCCCATTCTTCCTGATCGACTGCCATTACTGTGGAGGTGTCAGAAGGTAACTTACTAAACCAAAAGGGCCGTGTCGTTGAGTTTCTTCTGCAGCTGTGCCTTGGCTGCTTGCCAGGTCCCGTAGGAGTGTGCTAACAACAGGTGTGAATGTCCATATACTAAAGCAGTGCAATATCAGGAAATTGAACGCTGACTCTATACGATTGAAGGCACCCTCCTTGAGATAGAAATGTTATTTGTTAAATAGAAACGGGGATTTGAATGTTCATTTTATTTTGCTGGAAAACGAATGCTGCCAGTACTAATTCATTTACACATTTCCCGACGTTGGCCAGGAAAACCTATATTAAAAGCATGGGGGGGGACACCAGTACAGCAGCTGAAATATTTCTTTATTTGTCCAAGGGTTTACGTTTAATTTACACGACCCAACACAAATTTATCCCTCGGCCCTATCAGGGTGAAGCAAGTCTTCGGCATTGATAAAAATGGTCATCATTTTCATCCACGCCATTTGCCCATGTTCATCCAGGAGGCCTGTTTGTTTCGCACGGATCTTTATCGATAGTACTGGTTTGCTCGATCCATTAGGCAGGTTCTGAAGTCCTTGAATCAACCTCAGATCACTGATCGTGATCCGGATCCATGTGAAACAAAGAGGCCCAAGGTGTCAAACCAGGAGTGGTTTTTTTTTCTAATCCCACCATATCCAAATGAGGGGGAAAAAATCCATGTGACACCAAACTTTCAGTATTTGACATAAAATGACAGGACTGTTTTCTGTTTCTCAGAGTACTGCGTCAGATATTTCAGTCGCTGCTTCCAATTCTTGACGTGATGCTCCTGCTGTTTTATTTCATGGTCATCTTCTCTATCCTCGGTGAGCTACATAAAAACACTTCATCAACTGCCTCTCGTACGTTCATTGTTATAAGAATGATCATGTCTGTCTGTCCCTTACTGATTTGTCATGTGTAGCTTTTAGGATGGATCATGCTTTGTTTCTTGCAGGTTTTTTCATCTTTTCCAACGTGGATCGAGGCAATTTTGACAGTCTAGTTGACAGCTTTGTCAGTCTCTTCATCTTGATGACGACAGCCAAGTAAGCAACATCCCCCTCCCAGTAATCCTACCAGCCCATTCCATCTCGCCAGCCTTCCAGAGATTGTCCATGCTGTGTCAAACTCTCAGGCCACAGATTGCCCCCTTTTTATCGCTTTAGGAGTTGCACAGACATTTTCACTTTTTATAAATAGACTCACCAGAGCTGTTTCAGTGCTGTGTTAGCAGCAGACAGAGAGCTTAGTGTCCATCATTAGTTTCAGAGAAAGGGTGTGGGTGCTCTATTGCCCCAACAGATTGACCGCCTTACCCTACGCCCTTTGAAACTTCAAAAACTTTCAACCTGATATATCTCCCCCTTTATGCAGTCATCCTTTGTGATTTTTCCAGAGTAAGGGTTCGGCCCCACCCAGAGCAGGCCAGTGGACAAGTTACAGGGATCATCACATGTCAACCACTGGTTGATTTTCCCCGGTAACCCGTGCACAAATTGAATCCTGGATACCAAGCAAAATCAATCAGCAGTTGGTGAATGGTTGTTGCCCAAACTTGTCCCATGACTTAGTCCCAGTGTTTTAGTTCCACAACTCTGAAAGTCTGGCAAGACTTTACAACTGAGCTCAATGGCAAGACTCTCAGTTGTGCCAACTTAAGGCTTTAGTTTTTCCATCTGTTTTAATTCAGTTTCCCTGATGTCATGATGCCGGCTTACAACAACACCCCATGGTCCGTGTTGTTTTTTGTCGTCTTTCTCATCTTAGAGTTGTACTTTTTCATGAATTTGGTAAGTCTAAAAACCATCATCTAAAAGAATTCTTCCTGGTCTTTTGAATATGCCAACTGCATAAGATTTTTTTTTTTGGATTTATTAGTATTTATAAAAGCAAAGATTTCTCAAAAGTACCATAGTTTGTCAGAGTCCGGTAATTCAGTTTCAGAGTCAAGAAGGACCCGCGTGGAAGAAACGTTCTTGAGAAAAAAAAACATGCAGTCAGGTCAGGACTGAAAAAGTTAATTTACCCAGTTGAGCTGAGTGGGATTAGAAGCAGTCTCACACGAATTGGAAAATAAGATAAGTGCATAACCAGACTTTTGGCATTTTGCAGTTTAGTAATTAAAGCATTTTTGAAAACCCGCAGAGATCATTTGCAGTGTTTAAAGGATTTTTTTCAAAACCACAGGCAAGATCTGTTATCCTTCTCAAAAAGTTTGTTTAAATTACCGCATTGATTTTTATTTTGCCTGGGTCTGTTGTAGCTGTTGGCGGTTGTGTACGACACCTTCACTGGAATTGAGAAAGATAAATTCAAAGCACTACACCTTCATAAGCGGACGGGAGCCAGCAAAGCATTCAAGCTCCTCTGTAGCAGACGGGTAAATACCAAGAAATGCCAAGGCCAATCCCCAAATCATTGGAAGCCTGCAGATGGGAATCATTGCTCTTAAATCCAACAGTGACTTTTTTGAAAAACAGCAGTTGATCGGTTTTACAGAAACATTTCCATATGTACGCTCTGTCCCTCATGCAGTGGTGGACAGTGCTGTTTATCGAAAGTTAGCTCAAAACAAGACAGAATTAGAAAATCAGATTTGTCACAGCTGTTTGTTTCAGTGGACAGGAAAAGACTAAACTAAAATAAAAAAAACTTGCATCATCTTAATAAATACACACTTGAGTAAATCCCTTTATCACTCATGACTGAAGAAATATTTTGTGACTGTGTGCAAACAGAACGCTCTATTTACCATGGAATAGAGCTTTGGTTTGTGCAGTAAAGCGGCACCATCCTTTGGAAAGAATAATTCAGTGACACATACCATCAGATCAGATACCATCGGCCAGCCATCAGATAATAGGGACTTACTCAAGTGTCACATCTTAACTGATTTTGTCTTGGTTCATATCGTTACTTCACCCAAAGCACCCTGGCAAGGTCAGCTTTAACCACTTTGAGGGCCTGATGAAGTACTACCGACCTCGATTCAGCAAACGTAACGTCATGCTGGCCTTCAAGACGCTCGACGCTAGCGACACTCAGCTGCTCACCTTGTCAGAGTTTCAGGAAATCTACGAGGTATTCTGCCATTTGAGGATTATTCCTCTAGAAAGTATACTTACCTGAATATCCTTTCTGTGTCACTTTCATGGCGCAGGAAGTATGGTGTTATTTTATTTTTAAAAAGTTCTTTCTGTGGAGAGGATCACATAATGAAATACGACACAGTTTCCCTTCACAATAACAATAATTCCTGGAAATAGTGTGGTTAACAGCAGCAAAACAAAGAAGAAAACGACTGTTTTATTTGCTTTAAAAGTTAATCTATACCGGATTTTAAAGAATGTTTTTAAAATCATGAAACATTTCTAAATGGTATATCGCCACGACATGAGCGATGTATTTTTCTTGTTTGGTGATAGGTTGTGCAGTTGAGATGGCATCTGAGGCGGGACGAGGGCCGCTTGTGGTATGAGGATCTAGCATATCCGCTACACAAGCCCTTCGAGATACTCAATCGCTTTGTCAACTGGAGCATCTTCAACTATGCCATTTGTGAGTAGCCGTCGCTGGCAGCGGCTTATCTGTATTTTGGTTTGCTTTGTTTTGGGCAATCTATCGCTTCCATTCTACAGTACCGAGGTTTCTTCAAATTTGTAACCCATTTCTGCATTATTTTCAAGTTTAAGTAAAGGATAGGCTGTATTTGAACTACTTTTTTTTAACGTGCTCAGTAACATGTAGATGAAGATTCTGTAGGTTTTTCTTAATGTGTAGATGCATTGTTGTCATCAAATACGCTCCATGATGAGTGGAGCAGATGAACCTGATAACCTGCTCTGTGCAGAGGCAAGAGATGGAGGGTTTTAACCCAATGCCCCTGTAGTTGGAGCATTCGGATGCATGCGCGCGTGCTCGTGCCGCTCTCCTGAGGGTGTGCTGGGCACGTACATTCAATTTCTGTTGCTCTGTGCGGTCTCCTCGCATGCACGTCCCAGTTGACAAACTCCCCACCGGCTGTCTCTTCTCTGCTGTTGGGTGGGAGGGAGGTTAAATCTCATCAGAGCAGATTAGGCACACCCAAAGGTCTCGGCTGCAGGTGGCAGAAGCGCACTTCCCTTAGGAATTGAAAGCACCACTCTACATATAATTAATATGGTGTCCACCTTCTTTGTCTTTCAGATCTGGTGTTGTTTGTCAATGGCATTGTGTTTATCTACAAGACTATAGTCCTGTCAAGTGAGTCTAACGTATATGCATATGCACTTCCATCTCTTGTGTGAGATACCTGCCCTTTCTTTTGGAGAAAAAGAACATGATTCTGTTTATTGTAGTCTTTAATACATCACAGTTGGAGTCTTTCAATTCAGATCTGTTCTGTGCTGAGTCAAACTTGGAATAAATATGTACTTAGGGTGTGATTTTGAGAAACTTACGGACCTGTAATGTTGAAAATTTGTAAAAATACAGTTCAGCAAGAAATTTCAGCAAAAGTGGCAAATTGAGGATTAGTGAAAATATTATAATGAAATTAGGGGATTAAGGTTGTTACGGTCTTAAAAGTAGCCCCAAACGTTTAGGACTTGAAAGATTTGGTGGCCGAAGTTCCCTTAGAATGTGCCTGATGAGAACAAAAGTACAAACTGTGAGTTTTGGGGGTTAGTTTCAATACAAAGATGAGGGTAGCTTTTAGTAATCATTCTTAGGTTCTTCAAGTTTACTACAACAGTTTTCAATTTGGCGTTTTAAATCTTTGTCGAGAGGGTATTAAGTCTAAGGTTGATATTCAAATCACAAGCTCCTAGCCAAATTACTGAAAGACTTCAAATTGACTTGAGGCCAGGAGTAGCGGGCCGAAGGTGCACATTAGTAGATTGGCATGGGAGCAACACGTGTCACAGAAATGTACAAAGAAATCACAACTCCATCAGCCAGAGCAATGGAACAACGTTTGTTTTTTTTGCTTCCCTTGGCTTTGCGTTGTAGGCATGAATGACGTGTCCAAGATTAACACTGTGAACATCGCTGTAGACTGGTATGACTGGGCCTTCATTGGGAGTAAGTATACTATCGTTTATAAAGACCAGTATAAATCAAAGGAGAACTGCTGTCATATTTCAAGATATCAGTGACCAACACCCACTTTAAGATTTCAGTGAGTTACATATTTCCATATCATTTCAGATCTGGAATGTAATAATAAGGTCGTTAACCGTGATTTTCGTAATGTAAGCTGCCCAGTGTATAAGCCGCAGCACGCAAAAATCAGCACCACAGCACTGACGATCCAACCACAAAGGTGCTGCGTGTTTAAGTGCCGGTACAGTACATCAATGGTTCCACTGTACAGTCAATCCTAATAAATGTAAGAAAAGTATGAACAAATGTCACGGTAAAAGTGAATTGAAGTCCTCAAATTGAATACTTTTTGCGGACTGGATTGTTGTCCTGCGTGGGCCGTGCATCATCTCTTGTCCGCAAAAGTTATGTGGTCGGGGACATGACAGAAAATCTGGGTTACTCGAAGTCACCACTGCAATTGCAACATAACGCGCTCCTCATCTCTCCTAAAGGAGCATAAAAGTTGCGTCCCTAAAGCAATGTAAGGGCACTTACACGAAGGTACACCATCGAAGTGGTTGATTTTTATTTAACAATAGAAATATTTGGGGAGTCGCTCATTTGCAATACTCTTCCTGAACCCCCCCCCCAAAAAAAATGAGCAAATCAAAAGAAATTTCACAGAGCATGTAATGTACTGCAATAAAGAAATCTTAGTAAATTTTTTATTTGAATTTTGTTATTAGAATGAACAAAAAGCAGGAAAATAATCACTAAAAGTGTTGCCACAGCAGAGCAAGTAAACTTTAAGATTACGTACACATTTCAGGTACGTGTTTTACAACTCCAAGACTCAAGGAATTCCGTTAAAAACTCAAAATCTGGACAACTTGAATTTTTATTTATTCTCCGAGGTTCTTGTTATCAGATGTAAAAAGCCACCAAGGAAAACATGACTCCGCCACCTGCACGTGGTAGGCATAGTCAGGGCGCGGCTTTTGTGACTGATTTTATCCTTCAAAGTTTGCCGTATAAGCCGCCCGGCGTATAAGCCACAGAGACATTTCTCAGCGTTAAAATCAATGTATAAGCCACGGCTTGTATTCCAAAAATTGTGGTAATAATAATTGTTTTCCTATCCCACGTGACCAGTATATTGCGGAGAAATCCTGCTGAAGGTAGTTGGACTAGGATTCCGTGGATACTTCAGCTCTGGGTGGAATGTGTGAGTCGCTCATTTGCAATACTCTTCCTGAACCCCCCCCCCCAAAAAAAATGAGCAAATCAAAAGAAATTTCACAGAGCATGTAATGTACTGCATCTTGATCCCTTTTGTGCCGCCTTTTAACAACTTCTTTATTAAACATGAAATAGAAATGTAAACTAGATAGGTTTGCGGTAGCACCATGGACATGTCTCTTCTTTGAGTATGTGGGGTTCAGAAAACAACTGGTGGTACCCCAAATGCTTAAAAAGAGATGCATTCCTGGCGCTACCACAAACCTATCCAGTTTACTGGCTACCTCTGCCATGAAAAGCTTCTAATCTCATGGAAATAGAAACGCTTGAATTGGGTGCATCGACCCATTTACCAGCATTGATCACATTCCGACAGTTACACTGTTATTTCAATCTTCTATTTTTGTTTCGTTTTCCAGATTTGATTTTGCAGTGACTGCAATTGCGCTGCTTGGAATGACAGTCGAATCTGTCAGCTCGGCATTCTACTTTGTCATCTTGAGACCGATACGACTCCTGAGGTAAATGTCAGTTTTAAAGGGATCATCCAAGATCATCAGATATTGATCATTTTTATATTTCAACTCAGACAGCCCATGGCGCTTTAATACCAACCAGTTGGTCCATGGCATCAACAGAAATAATCCTGACCGAAACCGTTGCATTGAGTGCACATACATAAAGACGGATGCTGTTTTAAATGAGAACAAAATGCACTATGGAGGCTTGTTTTAAAGCATATTCAAAGGAAAAGCAACAGAAATCTTACGATTCAGAAAGTGAATTACTCATTAAACAATTTAAAAGGAATAGAAATTTTGAACAGGGTAAGAAGTATTGTTCATGTCTAAAATCGTAGTACCACCCATAGAAAATGCATTAACCTGAAGGAAAACGAAACTTAAACCAATCAATCATGGCAACTTATGTTTATTTACAATGTGTAACCTTAGTACCTTGGTTGAACATTTTTTGACTACATTTCCATGATTTGACGTGTTAACAGTCTAATATTCAGTGTGCCCTCCTTTATTTCTGATTGCTTAGACTGGCTTTTTTTTACCCAAGCTGCCTTACAGACAAAATGTCATACAAGACCTGCCTTTGCAAAAAAAAATCATTCAAATGGGTATATAGCACTGCACTGATGTTATGCACCACTGTAAAATCATGTGAAGTAATCATTCAGTGAGACAGTGTAATGCAGGCCCAGTGACAGAAATACCAATAACATGCCAGGTGGTCTTAAACTTTTTCAAATGACTGTAATCTGCCAAGAGAGAGGAGGCATACACGTAAGTGTCAAGTGTTCCAACATGAAACTTTTTTACTTTCCTTCCGTCAGATTGTTTAAGATCAAGAAGAGATACCGGGACGTGTTTGGGACTTTTTATGTGTTGCTGGGTCGAATGTTGAGGTGAGAGCAATGATTTTCACAATTGGATGGATATTTCTGAGCATACGCGTGCCGTCAGTTTTGTTTTTTCATTTTTTCTTCATAAATAATTAGTGGCATTGATATAATAATGTGTTCAAACTGAAGGAAATATCTCCAGAAGCCAGTGCACTTACTGAGCATGCAGTGTTATTTTTGGGGTAAATTGTCATTGTGTAGAAAATGTTTGCGAAGAACCGGTCAGGAAAATGCTTATTTTTAACACCTTGGCATTTGAGCAGAGTGGGAAATTTCTGTTCCTGGCAAATTTCGCTGCTAAGTGTCCTCTTGGAATTGGCCCCTTGCAGCAGGTACTCAGTTATGGTTTCTTTATTGTAGCCACGACAGCACATAAATGACGCAGTCACACACTGGACCCTTGAAACTGATGGAAAATTGGACTCGTCATTGTTTGGTTTTTCTTCGAAAGTTTCATCTGTCGAGTTATGTGTTTCTCACAGGACTGGAGATTAGTGATTGGTTTATTTGGTTACCTTTTAGTGTTGGTATAGTCATCATTGTCATGTACTATTTCTACGCCATTATCGGGATGGAGCTCTTTTCAGATGTGGCCCTCAAGAACTGTTGCAAGTAAGTCTAACTCTAACCTAGTGATGCCTTCAAGAATTCAGAGAGGCACGTGAATTCCATGCATTGATCATGCTGTAAACTTGACTTGCCTTGAATGAGTAAGAAATGGAACAGTTAACATGTGATCATTTGTCCTAAATTGCCGCTTCCTCTCTAACATTTGGGCTGTATTGATCTGAACCTCCAGCATCTTTATCTGTAGGTTTACAATGCAGAACCAGAAGGTGGCATAAATGCTAAGGTGAAGAGAGGGTTTTCTGTGAAGTGGCCGATAAGGGATTGGATCTGGCTTTCATTATGTTGTCTTCCATGATTGTCCACGATTCCATTGTACAGTTGTTCTGTTAAGGAGTACTTGAACTGGTCCTCACTAGCCCAGGGAACTTTGAAGCACTTCAAGAGGGTTGCCGTGGAACGTTGAAGAGGGTGTGTTGTTGATGAATTGTTTCCGAAGTTCACAGTTGGAACTTGGAATCAAACAAAGAAAATGTTTGCATTAGACTAGAAGATACGCTTTTCTGCCTGAAAATGGATCTACTTGGAGCTGAACAGCCTCAAGTGAAGGGACTGAATTAATGAACTTCAGCTTGAAGGAAAAGATCGATACAAAAGCCAAGTTTTGAAAACACTTTGGCTCTGAGGTTTTCATGAAATCACATTCCTCTAGTTTTTCATTTGCACGTTCCTGTCTAACATTTTCATGGTTTTGAACAGTAAACCAATTGTCACAGTCAACCTTTGTCCTTGAAATGAATTGAACTTAAAGTTGAGCTGCCTTTTTTTTCCCCGCAGAAATACTTCGTACGAGTCATTCTTCAGCGAGGAGGGCAAATTTTTCTTTTACCTGAACAATTTTGGCAACATACTATATAGCTACGGTGAGTACATGGACGTTGTGTTCTCAGAAGCATGTAAAAATCCTCAACCCAATTCTGTTACACAGATCCTTCACAGACCATCACATGACCAGTCACATGACTAGTCACAAGTAAACAAGGTTAACAGTGACAAGGGAATGCTGTTGTTGCATTAAGTTTGAATAGCTTGTGATTTGAAATCAGATTGGCAATCTTTGTGTTGACAGAGTTACATCACAGCGTTAGCATTGTTGGTGCACTTGCGGAAATCTGTTTGTTACTTCCTCTGTCAAAGAGCTTTCAGGAAAGACAGGCTACGCTCTTGGTAGTTCTTATTCCATGTGGCTGTCTTTGTTTTGCAGTAACTCTGTTTGAGCTGACAGTTGTCAACAACTGGCACGTGATCATGGTAAGTGCCAACAATTCATGGATCCACCCGTTTCACCTAAAATACACAGATTGATGCTAAACAGAGAGAGGCTAGTGTAAAGACACCGACCAGCTGCCTCGGATGAATGAGAACGATTGTATCCCTTTAGGGAACACACCCTTTGAGCACAGCACATGTAGGTTCTCTACTACCAGCCTTTGCTCTGTCTCGTGCTATTTTTTCCACTGATTTGACTGACGGCTCCAGTCAGCTTTGATCATGCCTTATAACGTCAGGTATTCCTTTAATACTAAAAGCAGCAAGAACATTTCAGTGGTGCAGCTATGCTCCCAATTTTGGTTTCATCCCGCAGACAATTTGTTACTCCCTCATCAGCGCACGGTCACGACTGATTATCAAAATCCTTGTTTTGAGTTGACATCAACTGCACATGTTACAACTTTGCCATTTCTTTTCCTTCTTGTAGTTCGGTATAGCCCACACCACCACAGAATGGAGCAGGATCTACTTCATCTTGTTCTATCTGTCAAGCCTGGTAAATGAATCTTGCGCATGTTTCTCTTCCCCCCCCCCCGCAGCCCTCACTCGTGAACCGCAAGCTTTGAAATGTCCCTTTCATGGGGTACACGCCATGTGCGCGCCAAGTTTTATGCATACCTGATGGGCGGATGCCGAGCATGTGGGACTCGTATCTGTTGAATGCACAGTCTTCTCAGGTGCCCAGGTGAAATGGTCCGTACCTGTTCCTACTTCTTGACAGAAAGGGGGCGCTTGGGTGCAGAGCAGAAAACTGCCCCTTTTTACAGCAACAACCCATAGTGTGTCATGGTTGATTTTCATTTATAGAGAAACAGTGTGGAGCTTGAAGTCTGTGCTTAGACATCCATGAATAGTAGTGTTTTTAATGATCTTGTACTGACTATTTGGTCACAACTAACTTAAGATCACTGGCAGCACAATTGCAATGGCAGGTTTGGAGAAACCCAATGATCCATCCATCAGATCAACTGTTTCTTCTTGGGAGAGATACTGAAGAGTGATAACCATAAATTGTTTGCTGTTCTTGATTTATGCAAATGAATATTCCAACCTCGGTGGTGTTCGTGACCGTAGTTGTCATTTATGATTTGTAATATATTCTTGCCTTTTATTGATGACGGCGTTTCCAGGTTGTGGTGACTATCATCGTTACGTTCATCCTCGAGGCCTTTGTGTTCAGGATGCAGTATGGACAACGCAACTCACAGGCAGACGAGGAATGTAAGTTACGCTGGTTATGTGTCACACAAATGTGGGGGAAACTTGCCGATCGTCAACATCCCCCGATGTCAGCGGTGTGAGCTTGGACCGTGTTTTTATTTCCAATGAAAACAAAATGGTGTCGGAGGTTTGCGGAGGTACCTGCTGTTAACAGCCTCAAAGTTGACCAGATGCGCTCTAATGGCCCCTTCACCAGAAGGGTGTTGTGGCTCCTCAAAGCTGCATGTGCACCTCAAGTGTTCAGGCTGACGTGAAACTGTAAACCTGATGCATGATCATCCCACCTGCAGATTCATAACTGTCACTGAGGTGCCAGCGATCAGTCACCGAAGTTCAGATGACTGAACCTTGATGTGGATGCTGATCTAACTTGTCTTGATTGGCCCAGTCAACGTGTGATCAATGTCTTGTCTAGCCACCTGTCATGAGGACAGGCAAACACAAATTTTCCCAGCAGTTTTTGCTTGTTCAAAATTTAATGATAGGCCCCCCTTAAATGTTTAACACTGGTGAGCAGGTCTTCACACTTCCTTTAAAAACACTTGGTTGCAGTGGCAATATGCAATGCAGTGGCTTAGATAGCCACTTGAAAATTTAAATGAACTGAAGGCTCATTTAAATACCTTTTAATTCATTGTGTGCTAACGCCTGACCTCAGGGAGGAGTACGGCTAGGTTGGCAGGTCTGACTAAGGGGTATCAGTTTCAGAACTTTTCCTTAGAGAGGTCTGGCAGTTTTTAACCTTAGCTGGGGAGGGACAGATATATTCAATCCCAGATGAAACCCTGTGCATGATTGTCACCCCTAACAACTGAAGTGTGCCTGTGGTGCGCTTCATGCACGAATGTCATGAGATGACTACGAATTGACCCAATAGGCTTCAGCTGCCCCCCCCCGAACCCCTAGATGACTATTAATGCCTAGCTGTCACCATTGCACAACCTACCGTAAGCCTACCTCAAGAATGAATGCATACATGAGGCGAGTGTAGTACCTCCGCATTAATGGCTCCTCCTCGGATCGGTCTATAAATCTAGGGTAGTACTTCAACCGAGAACTCATTTTGTCCTTCGGTATCCTCTTACGTTCTTGACTGAATTCCAAAGCATATTTTTCTATGTCTCGTTCCTTTCTCAGTTGTCAGCTCCATCACCAGCGAAATGACATTATCCCTCCAGGAACTGGACAGGTTTTACCCACCAGAGTCCAGGAACAGCGTGCCCTTGGCCGTACTACACACCATGTTGAGAAATGCGGTGAGACAGTCGATCATGCTGGTCGCTGAAAAGGCTCCAAATTTCTGGGGGAAATGTCGGCTATTGTTTAGAGGTTTCAGGTTTGGGTTTGGTTTTAGTTTTTGTGTGGCTTGTGTCAGATCCAGACTATTCCATTTTTATTTGAAAATACCATAAAATCATTGAATTTGATTCCGAAGCTAATCATATTAACTTGTGTGATTTCAAACCTTTTTGTGTTCTAGCCTGGCAGAATACTAACGTACAAGGGCTCCAGGAAACGAACGAAAGCAGACCTCAGCAAGACAATGTACGCCGACGAAATCAAGGTAATAAGGTTCACTGCTCTGTTGGGGAAGTAGATATCTCACTGCCAAATCTGGGTACCACACATGGTCAGCCTCCGTGATCTAGTCATTATGACCCTCTCTGTGTGTGTGTGCAAAACCAGTGGGAACCACTCAGCCACAAAGGAGTGTTTATTTGTCACTTGACATTGTGTGCAGAAATTGCAAGAGGTTGTCAGCACACTATCTGTGAAGCTGGCCCAGAAAATTTACATATCCTCCAACTTTCAGTGGTTCAGAGTCTCAGATGTAGAATGATGTCATTCAGTCTTGAGTGTTTTTAATGGATAGGATTTTCAAGTGATAACGGGCTACGTTTCCCTGTTCTCATAGGAGTGGGTGCGGCAACAAGACCAAACACAACGCCAAGACCTCCACCAGTTCCTGGTGCGTCAACTCAGCAGGGGCGGCTCCCACATGCTCCTCTCCCCGACGCCAGCTGACACCCCGTCCTCGGACGACGAGCCAAATCATGGCAACCAGGACACCACGGCGTTCCAGCAGCTGCAGACGTTCGCCAACGAGGGCACCGCCAATCATTTCGACGAGGAGCTGACGTGCTGGCCGAGCAGAACTGACCAGCCCTACTGGGAGGTCCCGCAACAGGACAGCCCCTTCCTGAGGAGGGAACCAGACCAGCCATCCATGGTTTGGTCGAGAGACATTGACAACCTACAGGAGAAATCATCTTGCCAGTTCAGAAATGTCGGGATGGAGTACGATGATGACGATGAACTCATAAAGGCCTGAGAGCAGTCTGGATGTAGCCAGACAGATACCCTGAAGGTGCCTGTAGACACAAACATTCCTCTCGGCATTGTTTCCATAGGATGTTGGGAGTGTGTCAACCTCCACACATGGATTTACCAAAGCCTGCTTTTAATTATCGTCCAGTGCCATGATTTTTATGTCTATCCAAAGGATTTATATTTACCCACCCTCCCCCCATGCATAGGGAAGTAAATTAGAACTGCACTCGTTCTTTCACTTCAAGGTACAGTCCATCATTTGTCATTTATCCGTTGTGTTTCTTCAAGGCAATAACATCATTCAAAATGTAAAGAAGGGTGCCTTTGAATGAACCCAATGAAGTTTCAGCTCAGTGAGTGTTGTACACTCTGAGAAAAACAACTTCCTAGGATTTTGATTTGAGATCACCTCATCCTGAATCCAGCGTCCGGGACAGGTTCTCAGATTCAGTTGAATGCCGCTACGCAGTGTCGCACAGTAACCCTGTGCGCACGTGTCATGTCACCCACTTCTAATAGCAATTTTCCCAAAATGCATTCTGAGATGCATCATTGGAAATAGCCTTCTTTTATTGTTTTCTTCAAAATGACAGCCTGCCAATCAGAAGAATTTCACAGGGAGTTTAGTCCCATAACCACCTCTAAACGAGGTAAACTTTTCCAACAATAATTTCATCTGTAACTTTTGGAAGAACTCATAATGATCAGCTCTACCTTCAAAAAGCCATCATTTTTCTCTGCTTACAAAGATGAGAATATTTTGTATATCATGGACGGCCACTTGCTGAAGACTGTGGCTGTACAGTTCAGCCAGTTGTCTAGGACAAGCACAGAAGTTTGTAAGTTTGATGCTTACTATAGCAGGTACTTAAAGTGGCTTGTCTCAAATTCTGTATAGTGCATCGTCAGTAAAAACAAAAAGCTTAAGTGTCTTCACATGCATTTGTGGTACCCGATCATTGTTTTACAGTCTTTCAGTGTGAGGAGAGGTGGTCTTTGTGCTATTGCGATGGGGCCTGTAGATGGGAAGATGGCCTTATCTGAAATCTTTTAATGCTAAATCTTGGGTCTCCCGTGATGATGGCCATGTGTCAGATCTGCAGCTCTGACACATTACCAGCAATGGGAGCAATACCGTAGAAAAGTTTATGATGATTACATTCCATTGCTAGCTCATTCGACAAAATAGCTTCAGGGGGTCGATTTCACCGAGCTGGCAAACAGAGAATTTTGCCATGGAAGAAAATATTAAAAAGCAGGTTAGAAGCCAATTCCATGCATTTTATATTCCCTGGGACTCGTCCCCAGCCAATTTATGCTTGGCACAGCTATGATTGCATGCTTTTACATGTGCGCTTAACACAAGACAGGTGTATCCAAAAGAGACTACACTGAGTTCAATATCCCCAATATATTGTTTACTATTTTCATACAAATATGTCTGTTGATACTGGTAGATGAAGGTTTTGTGCTTTAATTCATAATTTTCATAATCAAACAGAATTTTATACCTGAGAGACCAAGGGCAACCTTTGTAAGTCATCTAACAATTGGAAAAAGTGCCATTTCTTTCCTAACTGCTTTGTGCCCACAGCATTAACAGCACGCCTAATCACGGCTCTATCTTGCCCTAGAGCGGTGATTTCATCAGGTGTTATCCATCTCTCCAGGTCACCCAGGTCCGTCAGTGGAGAAATAAGAACCCAGACTTCAGATGTCCACACAAAGGCATGGAAAGATCCAGTGGCATTAGGTCCGTAGAACTCGGTGGGCATTCCAAGGGCTTGTTTAATGCAAACCCATGGTGTCCAAAGAGTTCTGTCAAGCGTTCTGCCTTTAGCCAAGACAGAGCAGTGATTGAGAGTGCTATTACAAATGCGAGGAGGCTGCAATGTGTGTAAGGAAACAATGGCCAGGTGGAGGACTGAGTGTTAAGCAATTTCATTTCAAGTAATTGGTAATTAATGAAGCACATGCTGCCTTCTGGCTTGTCATGGACTGTGATGTTTTAAGCCAATATCAACATAAATTTAAAAAGCTTCCTCTGCTCATTCAGCCATGAAATTCTGTAAATGATCTTGAAAATAATTAAAGCATGAAGCCTTCGTCTACCATTTTTCATCGAACAATTTTCGATATGTAACAACATTCTATATTGAGGACATTTCTCTGGGAACGTATCTCTTTCTTGGATACATCCTGTAGAGAAAACATTCCACAGGAACGAAAGATATTTCCTACCCTTTAGTGGTCATCAGTCCTTTATTCATTTTTGTCCACTGAAGCAAGTGGCTGTGCTTAGTCCATAGGAGACTTATATAACAGTTGCAAATATTGCCCTTTCTTCTGTGAGTAAAATGTAACAGCATGTGGATATCACGTACCATACAACCAGTACTGTACTAGAATACAATGGTTCAGGTTAAACACAGTCCTATGATACATCTCTTTTTTTTAGGGGGGGGGTGGTTTTTTGTGTACCGCTATAGAAATGAAAGTACTCTTTATATGGCTTTCAAGTTGTTATATGAACATTTAATGTTCTATATGCAGATTCCGTTGAGCATTGATAATTGATTTAACACTTATCATTGTACTGATTGTTTGGAAGGATTGCACACGTTAACTTTCCTTATTGACAAAAAATAGCGTATATTTCATGTAACTATAAGAAAAAAGATTTTCATTACGTGTGTAAGTCAGATTAAAAGAAATATATTTTCCTTGGCAGAGATGTACAAATAATGTAATAGAACAGTAAATACACATTCCATTGTTACGCGTTGATTGTGATACTGTGCAGGGAAACAGCAGAAACTGCAAGGTGGGAGTTGGACATGTGTGGCTTTGTAGAAGAAAGGACACCAGCCCACCGTTTTGTCATACAAGAGCTGTGTGTGGTGCCCTATATCCTCAAATAATATTGGGCAAACACTGGCAAGTTGTTAATTTAACTCGGTTCTCAACGAAAGTGGTGGCTGATCGAACTTATGTTGCCTAGCTTTGTGTGCTCATAACTTCGCAGAAACCTTTTTGTGTGCTTCGGCATTCGCGTTTTGTGTCCATTTCTGCGGGGAATCAGACTTGAAGCCAATGCAGCGGTTGGCCCTGCTGCTTGTGTGAGAAGGGGAGCGCGTCCACCAAATGAGGATGGGGAACTCAGCAACAAGCAGGAATCGAAGTTGGCTCATTTTGTCTTGATTTGCTCTTTGTGAATTAATAAGTTTGGGAGGATGCGCAGGATGAAAACAGAACCTGGCTAAAAGCTTTTAAAATAAAGAAAAATGCTACTTTGAAATAAAAAAACAGTTTCACCGTTTTTATGCCTCGCTTTGACTTGTGTCTTGCTGTGTCATGTACCGTGTCGTGTCTCATCGTGTCTAGTCACGTCGTGTTTTGTTGTGTCTTGTCCTGTCGTATCTCGTCTAGAGAATGCTTCAAAAATAAATAGGTAAGTCGTCCAGTTTCCAAGCAGCTTGATGCCTACCAGATATTTTCTAGGCATTCTGGTATTATTATGCGGATACGTATTTTAAGTTGGAACATTCTTTGGAATAGTTATGCATAAAGCGGATTATGACGTACCTTTTCCTTTAGCAACACCCCCGACATGTATGCCTTCCTCATCAACACAAACTTCATAGCGACGGTGCATTTCTTCGTTTGTCTCACCACTGTATCGGTCGTCGCTGCTAGATTATCCTGCAAGACGCTGATTCGTTTCAGAGTACGGGTCCATCTCGGAAACACCATGTGACTTGGGAAAAAAAGACGGTCTTCCAATGTTTTCAAAAGAAATAATCGCAGGGAATATACATGTAGGTTCCGGTGACGTGAAAATGCCACTGCACGACTGAGAAACAAGTGAGGGTTTTTACAGGGTTGTGGAAAAAATATTAGCACTAGGACAATTTTCTCAAGTTCAAAAGTGTTCGCAGAATCATTGTTTAAAATCTTCCCTTCACTGTAAAACCCCAGGACAAGGTACTCGCAATGTTAATTCGAATTAGCTCCTCCGTTTCATAAAATTAGGGTTCCACTACTCTGAATAGATCCACAAGATTCAGTCGTGCAAAATTGGACAAAAATCGGTTGCACGCTCTAAAATAGCATCGCATGTTCCACTGTAAATTCAAAGTTATGACCACTGCAGAATTTTCTTTGCAAACTCACAAATGTTTACCTAATCACTGTTCTTCTTTTTTTAATATCCATCAACGAAAATCACGATAGAACACATTACTCTCTCCGGGAGACAGTAGAGTGGGATCTTTATGACTTGAATAGGGGCCTACGTGTAGGGATGCTTTCTTGCAATATTATTGAGTTTCGTCTCCATTCAACATTGTGGGGGGTTTTTTTTGTGCGGTGGACCATTTCCATATTTTCACTAGAGAAGGCTTGGTGTCACCCCTGGCAGAAAAGTAGCGGCTCCGTAACTCTGCGTAGAGATATATCACACTTTTCATCATTTTCCTGGCATAAAATCTACTTGTCAATATGGGCCAATATTTCTCCAAAACGTTCTTGCGGGTAATTGTGAAGGACGAATTTTGTTCTTTTCCTAATGATCTTTTGACAAAAGAAAAACAGCGACCTCTAAAATCAGGGTTTACTAAGAATAGAAAAAACTTCTACCTTGTCACTTTTAATACAAAGAAGTACTTAGATCTTGTTTGTATGTAGGGTTTGCATGGCAGTGCTTTTGTCGCACAGGGTATATACACAAAGGAGGTTTCCCTGTGGGAAAAAAAGAACTGCCTAGAAAAGCTGACAGAACAAAATGTTCTCGTGACGGATTCCGACGGAACTCCACTTCTAGGTTCAGAAACTGCGTGCACGGGATGCTAGAGGACGAAGTGTCAGTGATAAGACGGGATCTCAGTGAGATCTTCTCCTTGATGGAAGGGCCTGATTACCGCCACCCGGAGGACGTCAAAATGAAAGTGGACGGTCACGGATGTAGACCGGGTCTAGTTCTTTTTTTCCACCAGTCGTTATAGTGCTCATGAATTTTCAGTGCCATCCACAAGGAACCTTAATAATGTTGTGTAAACTATTTAGCCTGTGTCTGCGGCATGGAAATTGGCTTCGCATAAATTAAGGGTATTATACTATAATATGGCGATGAGCGTGGCCCACTAAACCCAGTGGTCGTCAGCGTGTCCCCAGGGTACATCTCACCTTGCTTTGTGTGATAAATTCTGGTTACATTAAATTATGTTTGGCGAGTTTAGAAGTGCATTTCGTTCGTCAAGCTTACTTCATTTTTGTAGTCATGGGCCTAATGTTCCCGGTGAAGAGTGACTCGCATAAGAATTAAAAGAAGGCATGGCTCCTCCTCTTTACAAAGAAAACAAAACAAATCCGGACTCTAAACTTGTTTTGCTTTATATTTTTCTTGTCGTTTTTGTTTGTTTTTGTTCTAACGTACAACATTCTGTACGGTCGCTATTTTATGCACGTGGGCAAACCTCCAAATCGAATATCTTTTCAGTTAGTAGTAATAGCGCCCTCTCACAGCGAGCCAACGCCACAGCGGTTTTTTCCAATATGCATCCAGCGCTCGGATACAACTTGGTCCAGACAGCTCGCGTTCGCGACATCTACGGCGTTCCTTCACAGAACTAATAACAAAAACGTGTCACAAGTGTGTCAGCAGTGCATTCAACGGAAAGGGTGAGTTAACATCACACTAATTATTTTAACTTAACGCATGAAGGAGTTACTTCCTTTACACTCAATGTAATTGTGCAGTTTTGTCGTTCGTAGGTAGGTCAGAACACCTGTCGCGATGGGGGCGACGGACGTGAATCGAGTCGTCCAAGATCTACTCGACCCAATTTTAATGTGCACCTGTTTTCCTATGACATGGAACCTGCACGGCCTACACTGTGCAAGGCACTGGTCGTATTGACTTCTCACTAAATATCACCCATTGTTTTCTTGAACTTAGTTGCGAAGGAACTTGTTTGTGGCACCGTGGAGGTATGGTGGCGTCTAGAAACTGGCTTTAGTTTTTCGTGAGCAGATTTGTGTTTGTTCTTGTCCACTAGGTGTTGTGTACATACATGTACTTGCATCACTCAATTCTATGCATGATAGTGAATCTGTGGTTTGCGCTGGGTGTGAAAAGAATTCAGGAAAGCATTTCATGTGTGGACACCACAAATTTTTCCCAGCTACATTGAACTATCAGCCATCTGAACGCAGTAAAGTTTCCTACAAAAGTCAATTAGCATTCACCTACATGTAGTTAGAAAACAGAGTCAGAAGTAGACCAGTCTTATATTGTTTGTGCACAGGGTGTCAAGCAGTGTCTCTCTGTGGAATTCTTTCCTTAAAATTTGTTCCCCTAGCTAGGAAGTCCCCTTTCTCATAAAATCCCTCAGAACACGTGTCCCATCTTTTTCTGAACCTTATTATTAAAGGTACATTGACAGTGGAAACTTGTGATAGCCCCGTACAGAATTCTTTCCCACTACTGGGGTATGTTAAGTTTTGTTGACTGTAGCCCCCTTTGATTTAAGTCTTTTAAACATTATATAAATTGGCACTTCCGTGGCTTAATCCTCCCAAAACGCAAACAAACAAGAAAGGTTCTTTCTTCAGCTTTCACAATATCTGTAGCCTAGATTTCAACTTCAGCTGCTTGAGAGAGGAACATACCATGACCTAGCTAGAGGGGGGTTAAAAATGAAGTAAAAT